TTTTTACTGCAATTGAATATGGAAAAACGCAGACACGCTTTTTTAGCGCTTTTTGTCCTGAAACCGAGGAAAAAAATAAATTGGTGAAAAACAAAATTCACTTTGACTTGTAGCTTCCAAAAGGTGATAAGGACGCTTACATTTAGTGGCCGTGAAAAAATCGGTAATTCATTTTATTTCAAAATTTTTGGTAAGGTTTGATAGCCAGCTCTATAAGCTTTAATTTGATATAGGGGTTTAGGTATCTACAGCTTAAATCGGACGCGCTACATTGCTTGGATGCGAGACACCCCTGAAGGTATACGGTAACCTTAACATGTTATACGCATGCACTCTAGCATCCTTTAACAGCGTGATCCAAGACCACTACTGTGACTGTGTATCTTTTGGAATTATGCCTAACATGGTTCAAGAAATATCATCTGTTGTTTCCAAACTACACCAGTGCATTTATTTCATCCTTTAATTATCTCTGACTATCAGAAGGACCAAAAACTTCATATCTCGGCAGCCAAAATTTCCCCATTAAGTGGCATCAAAACTTGTCAAATTGTCCAAAAAAAAAAAAAAAAAAAAAAAACACAGGAAACTGCTTAAATATTGCTGCAGACTCTGTGGCACCCACTGAAAGCATAAATTAATTTAATTAGGCTTATGGGGACTCATTCACTGATGAAGGATATAATCTCGATCAAGTATATCGCCATTTAGTTTAACTAATTTCTCATTGAAACGCTTCTCAGTTGTATTAATTGATATCAGACAAAGTCTGTATTAAATTTAAGTGGTTTAGTTGTTACACGAAAGGTAGCAACAGAACTCCCTGTTCCGCGACAATTTGATGATTAGATTCATTCTTGTTAATCGATGAAAAGAAAATTTGCGTTTTTAAATAAAACAATCATTCCTCTTCCATTTCTTCCTCTGAAATTCAACTTTCTTAAATTTATCTCTAGCTGTGATAAAAATACAAGCACATCTTCCGTGTGTTTTTGAGAAAACAAGAGTTTCATGTTACATACCTTTGCGAGGAAAACAAAAGTAACAAGTTACAAACATTGGCGCGAAAAGTAAAATTGTCACATTGGCTACTTCAATGTATTATTTAACCAGCAAGGTCAATACAAACCAGGAGTGAATGGCAGGGGTTATTTAGGAACTGTGTCAGTGCTATACATTACACTCTGCACTATCTGAGATTGTCTCACTCTTTCATAATTTGTTGTTTTCATTGAGTCACTGTTGTTGTAGATTGTAAGTCTTATAATTTTCAATTGGATAGTTTGTATCAAACTTTGTGTATTACATGGTTAGTTAAGTTAACCATGTTTTGCAACAGAAAAACGAAATTTTGCCACTTTCAATTCTCCCTCCATCTTTTTCCTGAGGTAAAACTCTTTTTAGCTTGGTTGTAAATGACTGACAGACTAACCAAGATTCAGGGAACCAATCAGAAAGCGAGAGATGAATTAAGGGTGCGTTCCTTTGGGATGATCTGGATGAGAATCAGCGATCCAAGATCACTCGGATCGTAGTGCATCAAAGGAACCGATGAATCTGTGACTAGAGTGGATTCATCGGTTTCTTTGATGCACCATGATCTGAGTGATCTTGGATCACTGATCCTGATCTCGATCACCCCAAAGAAATGCATCCTTAGTATTGATTTGACTGGTGATGTGTCATTTGCAAGCATAAAGTTGGTAGGGAAATGGAACAACTTTCACATCTGAACAAAAAAAAAATTCTTTTCCTTGCCTGTTTCAGGTGAACACAAATGGAGTTGTATCATTTCTCGTAGGGGTAAGTCAGTACACCCCAGCTCCCTTCCCCTTGGGGGATGAGCGACGACTTATTTCTCCATTCTGGGGTGATGTAGATACCAGGAATGGAGGAACAGTCTCATACAGGGAGTCCACAGACCCTGTGTTACTACAGCGGGCTACTGTTGATGTTCGCCGAGCCTTCCTGGCTCTTCAAAAGTTCTCCGCAACGTGGATTTTTATAGCGACCTGGGATAGGGTTGCATTCTATGGAGCTAGTGGAAGCGCCAAAAGCAAGGTAAAGGTGAAACCATATTCAGACACAGAATAAAAGGTGTTCAGAAGAAAATATATTAGTTGCTCCATCTGAAATTTAGGTTCCTTGGTGTAGAAGACACAGTACACGTCTCAAAAGAACGCTGCCCCACAAACCTATTGTTTTCATTGTTTTCCTCATTCTTTTTCCTTTTGTTCTCTATTATTTTGCATCAGCTGAGTTTTTCACACTAGGTTAGAGCCAAAATACAGGTACCTATCATGGAACAATTTGGTGTGAGATTACCAATTTTTGTTGAACACTGATTGAACTTGAACTTTCCATGATAACCATATTTTGACGGGAATGTTTAATTTATGCCAATTTTGACCTTCAACTTTCATCATAATCGGTATGTAAAAATTCCTTAGTATGCACGAGCCAGTTTGCCTAAGTTCCACTCTCGCATTAAAATAATAATTTTGATTGGGCTTGTTGATTCTAGCCTAAACTTGAAATGAAAGAAGGTGTTGTCGAATGCCAATTTAAATTTGAGTTTCTCATCTTTGAATAGTAAGTAATAGCAGGCTATAGGCCCTTTGCAGCTGGGGTCACATGACCACATTTTTCCTGAAAAAAATTTCTATTGTGGGCTATAACTTAAAGAATGCCAGAAATGGAAAGAGCATACTGAAAATACCAAAATGGCCAAGTTTGAGGCCCCCGTCTATAAAGAATGAGATTTTACGACGGTCTGAATTTTTTAAAAATAAGATTTGTATGGAAAAAGTTGTTGGAGAGCAAGGCCTTGCTCTCCAGCAATAATTTCCATACAAATCCTCTAAATTTTCTGAAAATTCAAACTGTCGTATAAACTTACTCTTTAATGCAAGGGACCTCAAACTTGGCCATTCTAGTATTTTTAATATGCTCTTTCCATTTCTGGCATTCTTTAAGTTATAGCCCATAATAGAAATTTTTAAAAGAAAAAACGTGGTCACGTGACCCCAGCTGCAAAGGGCCTATTCATTCCTCGTGGTCCTGTTGTTGTTTTTTTTATCTTAAGGTTTAATTTAAGCATGCAATTTTTTTTTTGTAATGTAGTCTCTCTCAAACCAAGGGACTAGTAAATACAGCGTTATATCCCAATAGGTGATATTTTGTTGTTCCTGATTCATGTAGGTTAACACCTTTCAAGCAGTACTGGTCACTGATGGACGCCATTCATTTGCCATCTTCAATTACAATGTGATTGTGTGGACAACTGGAACCGCCAGTGGCACCCCTGCTCAGGTCAGTCAGAGGTTGCTAATCACTAGTTTGTACCAGCTGCTCCCTTAGGTTCAGCTGATCGGTTTTTCATCAGGATAAATAAAGATTTTATTGTTATTATTAATACTATTATGAAGCTGAGAATAGAGGGGAAGTTTGCTAAGGACACAAATTTTAAGGGAACATAAAACCTAACATTCAATCTTTACAGCGCGACTACTCGAACCGGGCCACTTCAAAGAAAACTAACCAATCAATGATCTGTTTGACATGAAAACATAGACACTATCAACTCCTCTGTGTTATATACTCTATTAGAGATTATGTCCTTGATGGCGAATTATCATGGTGATTATAAAAATCGCTCCATAGCTTGAAAACTCATTTGTGACAACTAAACCAAAACTTTCTCTGCAGTTCAAATATATGATCTTTCATATAATTATTATCCACTTGTATTCTTCACCATCTATGGGGGTACGAGGAACTCACAATGTGACCAGCTCCCAGTTGGCTCGATAGCTCAGTTGGTAGAGCACTGCACTGGTATCGCAGAGGTCATGGGTTCGAATCTCATTCTGGCCTGAATTTTTTTTGGAGGCTTTAATTTCACAACTGCTTAAGTTGTCTGTATAACTGTGATGATCAATCATGTCTTCATATCTTTCTCTGCAGTTCAAATATATGATCTTTCATATATTCACTTGTATAATTAAACCAAAATGGTTGAAAAGTGTACAAAATTTAGGATTGAAAATAACCCAATCAACAAACGGCAGAGTTTCCTTTAAGGTTCCCAAAATTTCGCACTTTGTTGGGTTTTTATTTTTGTTAAGAACTCTTTTCCAAGTGGCCCGGTTTGAGAAATCGCACTGTAAAGGAAATTTGAGCACACATGTACATGTAACCAAACCCAGTTGAACAGAAGGTCAATTTGGGCTACAAGGTAAACAGACTCGCAGGAAATTGGCTAACTTATGCAGCTTCTTAGTGTTCTCCAGGTTACTGGAGGATGATACAGAATAGTAGAACTTTCAATTCATAGTATATGCTCGTCCAATGTCTGATTGAGGTTTTGATTAAAAAGGTTAAGACTTTGGTCTATATCATTTGAGGACTGCTAAAACCCTCCCCTTCTTTTATTTTTCAATCTACCATAAAAAGGTTCTTTATTGTATGTGCATCCTTCCAAAAGTTTAAAATGAATTATAAAAATTGAAAAAAGGTGTTTAGTTTTACAAACAGCTGCTCTGAAACATCTAGTCCATGGTGTAGTTATACTTATTTGAATGTTCTAGAAAAGATTGAAAAATAAAAGAGTCATGCTAGGGGCTGCAGTGAACTGTGCCTTTTACGTGTGTCAATTTGCTTGTTTCAAATTTGAGAGTATATTGAAAAAGTGTTTTATAATGCTTTTTAAAGCTTTAAAAGGTTCCTACGATTTATCATCTGTACTACTTTGTAGGGTGGTTTCAACGCAGGAGATGGTATCAGGTTTTTTGTTATTCCTGGCTCAAGAACAAATGACATTCTCAACCTTCCCTCGACTTCAAACGTAGCTCGTGCTGGGCAGTGGATGTTCCGAACTGATGAAGCTAGTGTAGAGGCTGGAGGGTGTGATTCAAGAGGTACAATCTGTCAACCACCTGTAAGGGAGGGGAGGAATTGCAAATTAAATAGTGAAATGGTATCAAGTGTTATTTTTACAGCCAAATGTTTGCATCAAAAATAGTTTTGTGACTTTGGAAGTTTAAAGCAGATAACTGAACAAAACAATGGCATAGTTTGTAATTCATTAAGAAGTTGTTGTTAGTACTGCATGGTTAGCTTAATGGTTGGGCTTGTAAGTGAAACACTTGAGGAGAGCAGTTTATTACAAGAAACTTGAAATTATAGTACATGTATAGTTAAGCTTATAATGCCATTTGTGTCATTTAACTCCTGTAGAGCTAAGGCAGGGGGAGGTGCTGTGCCCTCATCGTTAGTGCACTCAGCTCTGGATTGAGCACTTCAGGTGCGAGCCCTGGGCAGGGACATTGTTCTGTGTTCTTGGGCAAGACTTTCTACCCTCACAGTGCCTTGATCTCTCCACCCAGGTCTATGAATGGGTACTGGTGAATTTAATGCTGGGGGGTAACCCTGCCATGGACCAGCATCCCATCCAGTGGGAGTAGAAATACCTCTACTTACTTCATGCTGCTGAAACTGGAGATAAGCGCCGTCCTGATGGACCACTCGGCTTGTTTGCAGACTTAACCTTCACCTAGAACTACTGGGCACTCAAATTCCGATCTTCATGCTGTATCGTTGTTTTTATTTGAATTTCCAGATTCAGGTCCTAAGACTCTGACCCTCTCACCTCGTTCAGGGATAATGTTAGGAGGAACGAACGTCAAAATGAGTGGACCTTGCTTCACTGCAGATGACAACATCGTTGTTCAGATTGATAATGAGATCAACATAAATGCTACGTTTGGGAGTGAACTGCAGTCTTCAGTCACTGTACCAGTGCTGAATAAGACAGGAAGGCTACCAATCAAACTGTCCATTGATGGTGGAAATTCTTTTGACTATATTGGAGTTTACACTTCAGGTGACTTCATGCTGAAATATAATTTATCTAGTGAAAGTGACCTTAAATTATCCCACATAACAAAAATATAAATATAATAAATTGAATTCTTGCTGCCAATATTGTCATTGATTTTGTGTTATGGATGACATTATAGCATTATTAATACAGTTTCCTGTGAAGCTTTCAATAAGTAAGTTGTTTGGAATGAATAGCTTAACGCTTAATGTTAGGCCTGCTGCAAAGCTTGTCTTTGGTTGTCTCATCAAAAGAATAGTCACTCACTTTCTCAGGTTTGTAGTGAAATGATTTTTACTTTTATTTCTCAATTTGTAAGTATCCTGTGACAGCTTTGCTCTTCAAGGGAACAACATTCACTGGATCTTCAAAGAGAAAGTTTATAAAAATGATATCGAGTCAATTTGGCTTTGGAAAATAGTTGCCTCATACATATGCTTCTTTTCAGTCCCAATCAATCGTTATACTCCTGGTGTCCAACGAACAGATGGGGATTCATGGGAGGAGGATTCCTCAGTGGATATCAGCTGGAGCCCAGAAAGCATTGGCAGTCTTGATGATGAAGTATCAATTGATTTGGCTCGCTATAAAATGGATGAAGATGATGTACCGGTATTGGATAGCTTTCATACGACAGTGGATTCACAGTTGAATAATGGTCACAGCCAGTTTGTTGTTACGACTGGGCAAGGAGATGGGTAAGACGAGGCTCTCTGGCCTTGAGATTTAAATATTGCTAGCTTACACACCCAATGACTGAGGTGATTTCCATAGCTATTTTGAATCTAGGTTATAAGTTCTTCTTTTCCAATAATATTAATAAAAAAAAAAACTTTTAGAGAAAACTTGCTACCAGTAAATTCAAAGCGATTGTAGTAAACCAAAAAACAAGTTACTGGTAAACAATGTGGGAATTTCAACTTCTAGTCCAAACTTTACAGATGATTTGTTGAGATGATGTAAGAAAATGTGGAGATTTTTTTCCTCAAGTATTTTCGTGCAGGTTTATTCTTTCTGCCTTTTATTATGGTGACCGACCATTTATTTAGTAAGCTTAAATATTGTAACATTTTTTCAATTTTCATATTTGAACCAGAAACATAGAGGATCGCTTTATTAGTCTTGTTCGTGTGTCAAGGAAGAGCAGTGGTAGTAATGTTTCTCAGTCACAGTGGGTATGGAGTGATGTGTTTGCCTGGAAAAACATGCCGTGGGCCAATGATAGGTGTAGCAAGTGGCATCTGAAGGAACCCAGCCCAGATAAATTGACAGGTATCAGTATAAAACGTTTGGTTTATCATGTTAGGTGTCAACCAAAGTGGGTTTTGTTTTGTTGGTTGAACACCTATTTGGACTAGAATGTTACAAAAGTCATGTATACATTTTCCCTTGTTTTGTTAAAAGATGAACATTCATTTCAAAGCTACAGTGTATGCCTGTCTTTTCTTTTAAGGTGATTCCAGCCTGCAGCCCTGTCCTAGGATTTTAACGCAAGCCATGGCTGATCGAGGGCGCTTCATGTCGGATGAAGAGTGCAATCCATCTAATAGAGATGGATGTGCTCGCTACCATGAAGGAGCTGTTCACTGTTTTAAAATGGTCAATCCAAGGTCAGCTTTTAATTTATACATGTACAATTTGCATAAATCAGGTGTGAAAAAAAAAAAAAGATTTGCAAGCTTGCCTTTCCGGCATTAGCTCTGTAATAATAACTATAACTATGATGTACATACCAGCCCAAAAATCTTTCTCAGTAGCCTCAAAAACTTCATCTCTTACAGTACTAGTCTGTAATAAAAAAATTGAATTTCTTCTAAACGTTTTCCCAAAACACTTATCTTGCCCACTCAACAGGCAAGTGATGCACAGCATCCACTAGCCCAAATGAAAATCCACTAGCCCCAGGTTATCGCCGAGGACTTTCATTTGACACTGACATTCTAATCCCAGTAGGAGTGTTATCATTGCTTTCAAAATATCTGAAGAGAAGTAGTTTACATAGCAGGTGTAAAATGGGGGGTAGGGAGGGAGAGCCGGGATGAAAGGAGGTATTTTTGGTGTTCATTCCAATTAGCCCGGTGGCAGAGAGGGGTACTTCCTTATATGGGTTATATAGGTATGTGCAGCCCCAAAGGGTGTAGTTTTTTTTAGCCATTTTGGTCATAAATAGGGTATCAATTTTGCCCATTTGGGTCTCAAATAGGGTATGGTTTTTGCACTCTAGTCTTGAGTCAGAAAAACCGACACGGATTTTGGTCTTAAGAAGGGTTAGGGTTTTGGGAAGGGAGCTGCATATCCCCATCCAATGTTTCTGGGATTACTCTGCCACAGGGACATGAAGATGCCAGAAAACTCATAACTCATGCATTCCTTCATTCTTATACATTCTTTATGCTGCCATTTTAACATTAGTGCCATGGGTGCAGGTCAACAGTGCTGCTATAACAACTTTGGCAACTTGATGATGGGTAAACATGCCGGATCTCTTGATCGAGTTCATCCTAATGCTGGTGTCCCTGTGATATCCCACTTCTTCCACGACATTGTACCGTACCAGGACTGCTGCCGAATGACGAACAACTGTGAGAAGTATTTTGAAAAGCGGCCGTCAGATGATGGATCACAATACCAAGCACCGAGACCTGGTATTATTATCTTATGAAAATTCATGTAGCAAAGAGGTTGATGCGAATTGCAATAAATGAAAATGGACAAAAGTAAAACAACAGCAACTCTTAAAATAAAATGCAAGATCCAAAGCAGAAATCTTCAGAAATTAGGAAGAATCAGAATATACCCGTTGCTTAGCAGTTTTATAGTCATCTAAGGATCTTTGACTTGAATCAAATGAACTGTCTGAGATCCTGTCAGATTTCGTCATTACTATTTACACCACGTTACTCAAGAGTTTCTGATCATCAAAATGGTAATATCCTATCTTGTACATGTAGTAGATATCCTGGCACTTTCCCTATGCACCTCGCAGGATTGAAAAAAAAATGAAGTTAAAGAAGAAAGTATAAATGGCCAACAATGTTTATTTTGGAACAAAACTATAGAAAATACGGCCAATGAGTTTCAGAATACAGGAAAGCCATTGTGTTTGTACATCTAGACGGTGTTACACACAACCTTCGCATTATGTGTTAAAATCTTATTCACTGGCTACTGTATTTGCTGTGGCATGGTAAAATAGTTATGCATTGCTATCTCGCGGTATACCATGGAATGACCTACTTGTCACGTGTATTTTCTTGGAATACACACAAGCCTAAACTAGTTTATTCTTATCACTCTTGTTACCAAACAAGAATATTAGGGGTTTCAATTACTAAGCTCGACAGCGAAGTAAATGCTCGTTTCTTCTTAAACGAGCAAGGTGACCTATCCTTTTTACTGTATTTTTCAAAATAGTGCTTGGTAGGGAACATTCAGGGAAAGTTTCAAAAAAATAAATTGCTCGGTAACTTTTATTTCTGAGGAGTCACCTTAACCAATGGATAAGAAACCCAGTTCATTTTCTCAAGGAGCGTAACGTGAACTCTTCTCTGCAATTTTAATAAATTTCAAAGATAGGATATGTTGACTGAGAGTTATAAACCCGCCTGTCTCCATTTATCGTACTGAAAAAGTCGTTCTGTTGTTCTTAGCGACTGGATTTGGTGACCCACACATGGTGACGTTGGATGGTACGCCCTTCACGTTTAACGGTTACGGAGAATATTTCATTTTAAAAGTGAGTGGGGTGGACTTCGCTTTGCAGGGGCGCATGGAACCTCTCGTAGGGGATGACGGATCTTTATCACGTGCCACTGTTTACACAGCATTTGCCGCCAAGGAGCAAGGATCAGATACTGTACAGGTCAGAAGATAATGAGCTTAATGGTAAAGTTTATCTATGATGACGGAGGATTGGAAGTGCATAGTATTTCAATATATACTATACGCTATGGAAAGCAGCTTTTAAAATAATGGGGAGGGGTGTAGTGGGGGTACAGGGGGGATGGGGGTGGCTTCAGGGATTTGCGGCTATAGTACAATTTCAGTGATTTAAATTAGGGATTTTGTGGGTTATTTCCATTTGTATCAATGCGTTTGCAAACAAGTTGTCAAAGAACACTGATTTAGTATCGCATTCAGAAAATGTATTTTGCTGGGAATATGGCTTCCTTGTAAACTAAGATAGTTATCTGAGTGTGTCTAGCCAGCAGCCTAAATTTGATAAAATTCCAGGATATAGCAAAGGATAAAAGGAAATCCCCAATACAAACATTTCTTGAAAGACTAAAACTGATTTTAAGCTGAATGGCTAAGTTACAGTAAAAGTAAAAGTAAAAGTAAAAGTAAAAGTAAAAGGTATACTTACAGTAATAGTTTAGTACAGGCATAATGGTGTTTAATATTTGCAAATCTGACGCGAAGTACAGTAATTAACCAGAATAGGCATTTTATTCTGTTGACTCAGATTCAGTTGAATGGTCGTGGGTTGGTTGACGTTTTGGTGAATGGTGAAGCAGTCATTTTTGACGAGCTCTCCCTTTTGGAGTTCAACGGCGTGTCTGTGTTACAGTATGTTAACACCTCCAAGTTCTCTGCCATTTTCAATTCTGGGATCTCCGTCACCGTAGAGGGACAACAAGAACTGCTTGGTCTCGTGACTTTGGTACCGACAATTTTCAAAGGTAGAAGTCTGTTTTGCCGTTTCTGTGTCTCGTTCTTTTGAAGCTGCATTTGAACCGCACTATTTCGAACTCTTAGGGGAAACTAAAAATAGTTCGAAATAGCGGGAGCTCGAAAAATCCTTTAGTAAATGACTGAAGGGTAAATCCAAGGGAAATGGTTTTGAGTTCGAAATAACGGGAAATTCGAAATAAACGAGTTCGAATTAGCGGGGTCCAACTGTATTGTATGTTATTTCTCTTTTCGGTATATAAAAGTGGCTCTTTATTCCATTCCTTCGACATTCTCATTGACTTCTATAAGTGTAGTTGAGTTAGCCCCACTTAGCAGACAATGGCTTTTACGTCTAACTTATCATTGCATGGATTTTGCCTGTCTTCACTCCTGGTTGTATTTTTATGGTAGGCGCATTCAACGTCTTCGTCTGGGTCTCTAGTGTAATTAAGGCCAATAACAATGATTTTTCTCTTAGTAAATATCTTATTTGTGACTAGGAGTGATGTTGCCAGCGCTTAGATCACTCTCGACCACTCCAGTCTTTCTCTCGGGGTCGGGGAACTGACTGTACCATTTCTAGCTTTGTTATTGAAAAAGCTACAATCACAATGTGAAACTAGTTTTTCATCATAGGGAATACAACTGGCCTCCTTGGCTACTGGGATGACAGTCAAGCCTCAGAATTCCTTCGACCTGATGGAACTTTCTTGAGCACAAACTCCAGCCTTGAAGTTATACACAGGGATTTTGGACAGCTATGTACGTAACGCAATATAATTACAGAACAGTTTGGTAGAACTCTTATTACTCTGCTGGGTTCATGGTTGTTCTTTTGCAATTGCTTTGAATGTTAAAATAATAATTTCTGTGGATGGAGTAGCAGCTGATAGGTAAGATCATGGGCAAGACAATTACGTTGACCCTCAACGCCACGAAGGATTAATAGGTATCAGAGAATTTGTGAGGAAACCTGACGTAGATGGTACCTGGTCCTGTGGCAAACTTTTATGTAATCCCTGGGGAGTTGTTATACCCCCGCTCACTTTACACTAGAAATTTACAAATGGACGATTAACGATGGAACATGGGTGAACTTAATAATTTGTTACCATTACCTCCCGTTTTAAGGGGTTACCAGACCAGAAGAGTCTCTGTTTGTCTACCAGCAAGGACAAAGCCACTCCACATTCCACAATCCAAGTTACCAGCCAATTTTTCCTGACAGCCAAAGCTTGGAGTTCACCGATAAAGCGCTGGAGAAAGAGGCTCAGGACGTCTGTGGAGAAAACTCAGAATGCTTGTTTGATATTTTTACAACTGGAAAAGTGCGCATCGGAAGAGCCACTAAAGAAACTGTCACTCAGTTTGTCGCGGTGGTAAACGATACTGTTAAACCAGGTTAATGAACAATATTTTATCTTTACGATCTCCTTATTTGCGTAGGTATACATAGTTTTTTTTTTACTTCAAAAAGCCAATTGGTTTTTTCGATCTTGCTTGGACCTCAGCAGGTCATTTCAAAGCCCAGTATGTATTGTTTTGAAAATGACTTAACATCACGATTCGGCACTGTTACATATAAAACCTCGTTTTGGAAGATCCACCAATCCTTTGTTATGAAATAATATTTATAATCGTGTATTTACTTATGATGACATGCTTTTCTTTCCTAGCTTGTGTGCCCCTGGACTCTCAGCTAGCTGATGGTGTTGTTCACAGAAATGACACGAAGGGTGGAATCGATTACACGTTTGAGTGCAACAGGGGTTTTGTCGTGAACGGGTCTAATCATGTGACATGCGAAGATGGAATTTACAACGGATCAGCCCCAAACTGTTTGCCTAAAGGTGAATCCAATTGCAGATTTATTGTTGTTAACGTATATGTAACAAATTGACGTCAGTTTTTCATGCGTCTGTCCTGCTATTGATAATGAATTTCGTCATAACATTGTCAACGTAGCTGTGGATCAATTTTGACAATGTTATGACGAAATTCATTGTCAATAACAGGTCATACGCATGAAAAACTGATGTCGATTTGTTTTTTACAATAACAAATTGTCAAATTGTCCGCTCTCGGTCGTTGACTCATCGCATAAATTATAAATTCATGTGTCTGTCCGCTTATTGACAATGAAAATTAGCCAATAGGCGCGCGAGAATTTCTGCAGTTATCGTAAAAGTTAAAACGGTGAACAGTGGGTGGAGTGCGTTAGTTTTAGTACAGTCACTCCATTTGGCCTCTTGTAAGGGTCCCTTGTAACTGTTGTCCGAGTTTCTGCGCACAATTTAAATGTGCGTAGGGCTGTTATGATTGAGCTCGCCAGTTCACTCTCTCACCTATCTCGTTAAGTTATCGCGCTTTATTGTAGTCATTAGGGAGTTTACGAAACCACGACACCGACGCCGAGGACAACGTCGATTAAAAAATGAATTTATATTTTACCTACGAATCTCGCGATACTGTTAAGTCATTTACTTTGTTTATCACTGTCAAAACTATCGCAAAAATAAATCTGGAACACAGCGATACATTTGAAATAAAAATTTAAAAAATTAGCCGTCGTGGTTCACGTTCTCTGGACAACGCAAAATTTGGCCATTTCACGTTGTTGTTTTGCAGAGGATGGCAAAGAAACGTATCGACAATTATAACGCACGTCCACATCTATTGTTCTCCTCATTAAACCTTTTGTTTAGCGACGTTGCCGTTGCCGTTGCCGTCGTGGTTTTCTTAAACTCCCTAACGTCGCAAACCAAAAGTTTAATGAGAAGAACAATGGCCGTGCACGTGCGTTAGAATTCTTGGTACATTTCTTTGCCGTCCTGTGCGAAACAACGACGTGAAATTACCAAATTCTGTGATGTCTGGAGAACGTGAACCACGACGGCTAATTTTTTTTTATTTTTATTTCAAATGCTTCGCCCTGTTCCAGATTCAGTTTCAGAACTATATCGAAACTGTATGTGGAACACAGCGTAAAATTTGACATATAAATTTTAAAAATCGTCCGTCGTTGTTCAAGTTCTCCACACGACGTAGAATTTGGTCATTTCACGTTATTAGGGACCTTACGCAAAACAGGACGGCAACGGCAACGAGAACGTCACCAAACAGAAGGTTTAATGAGCAAAACAATGGCTGTGCACGTGCATTATAATTCTTGGTACATTTCTTTGTCGTCCTTTGCAAAACAACAACGTGAAATGACCAAATTCTGCGTTGTCTGGAGAACGTGAACCACAACGGCTAATTTTTCGTATTTCTATTTGGACCTGAACGTATTCGTATCATATGCAACAGGGGCAAGTTTTTATACCGAGAGATACACTGAATAGTTTCAAATAAATGCGAAATTCCAAAGTAAAATAGAAACAAATTTTTTTACTAGGCGTCGACCTCGCAGTCGCCGTCGTATATGCGTAAGGTCCCTATTGTTTTGCAGAGGACGGCAAAGAAATGTGCAAAGAATTGCATGTGCGCAGCCGTTGTCCTGCTCATTAATCCTTTTGCTTAGCAACGTTCCCGTTGCCGTTGCGGTTTTCTTAAACTCCCTATTGATCCTCTTCCTCCCCTCCCCGCACAAAACCCTTGGCCTTGGACTTGATTGATTAAGTGCCCGTTTTTGCTTTCTTCGACAGAGTGTCCGCTTCCTGCTCCAGGTAATCTCAATAATGGTGTTGTCGACGGAGATGGCAGTGTTTATCGTTCAACTTATTATTTCACCTGTAACGATGGATATGCACTCCACGGCCATGCTATAGTCAGCTGCACGGAACATGGCTCCTGGAACGGCACTACGCCTAGCTGTTTGAAAGGTAACAAACTTGACCACATATCATTTATCGTATGCCTTGTTAAGGGGCATGGTGTCTGACTTCATTTAATAGGAAAAGTTTTAGGGTAACCCTGAACAAAAACGGGAGTTACTTGCGATAGATTTTAAGTTTTGCGATGAACAGCCATGAAAACCGGGGAGGGTCGTAGAAAAACTGGAGATTGAGGGGCTGGGGAGTGTGTGTGTGTGTGGGGAGTGTGTGTGTATGTATGTATGTATGTATGAATGAATGAGTGAGTGAGTGAGTGAGTGAGTGAGTGAGTGAGTGAGTGAGTGAGTGAGTGAGTGAGTNATTTCCGCGGGGCAACTATCAACCGATAGTTCCTCGACAGAAACACTCTATTGTTTAATTAGAGTGCAATGGCTGTCGCTCGTCTTCGAAATGGCGACTGTTTTTCGTCTTCCCGAAATTTTGGAGGAACATTTAGATGCAAATGGATAATGTAATACCTGAGAAGACTAAACGAGAGTCATTAACGCTGTTTTGACTTTAAAAACTTGAAATTATTGAAAAAACGAGTGCGCGCGCGTAAACAACTGCAAATTTCCAGTCACAATTCAGTCCGCGTGACTTTGTTAAAGCGTGAAGTTTAATAACACGTAGAAAAAGGATTGGAAACTGTAATTTGCATTTATTTCAGTAAGAATTCTACTTAAACAATTAGATTATTTGCTCTCGATTTCTATGAGGTGATAGTTGATTCGGCGCCAACTATCACCTCATAGAAATCTCGAGCTCATAATCTAATTGTTAACTAGTGTGGAAAAAACCTTAGTACGTGACCTTGCAAATGAAGCTATTGAACAGTACTTTCATCTGGTACTGTTTATTATGCTGTACAAGATTGTTGTAACTTTTTAATTCTGTGGATGAAACCCTAGTGTGTGACCATTCAAATGAAAGCTATTGAGCATTGCTTTCATGTGGCACTTTTTATTATGCTGTATCAAGTAATTTGGGATATGAAATTCAATTCCTTTTTGTCGATTTTAACTTCAGCACTGATGGAAGTGAGGGCTTATCATATAAGTACTGCGACAACTTCCGCTCTAAATGAAGGGCCGGGCTGACAACAATTAATTATCAAAACTGTCTGTTCCGCCAGCAAATAATTTCGCTTTAAATTGGCCTGTTTCTATAAATTTTGAGATATCTTGT